TTTTGGGGGTTCCTTCTACCATTAGGGGGGGGGGGGGGGGTAAAAAATTTGGGCCTTTTTGAACAGGAACCCTCCCCTCAAAAAAGGGGGGGGGGGGGAGAGGGTTTTTTTTGAGCCCCGGGGGAAAAACGGGGGCCCCCCTCCAAACAAAAAAAACCGTTCCCGGGTCCCCCTTCCAAAAAATTTGGCCCTTTTTTTTTTTGAGCAGTTTTTTTGACCCGGGTTTTTGTAAAAAAAAATTCAAAACACAAAGGCCCCCCCCCCCCCCCCCCGGAGGGGGGAGAAATTCGAAAAGTTACCGTGAACCGTCGAACAGTTACCATGAGTTGCCATGAGGCAAGGTTAGATGGATGGCAAACATGCCTCGCTGTCGTTACCCCTTCCGCATCTGCTCGTCATCGATGGTCGCCCATGCTCACCCAGCCGTGCTAGAGGAACACACACACGTACGATAGTCTCGTATCTACGAACGTATACAGTATCGACCAAAGCTCGAAATGAGCGGAACAGTGTGTCGTTACCCCTTCCGCATCTGCTCGTCATCGATGGTCGCCCATGCTCACCCAGCCGTGCTAGAGGAACACACACACGTACGATAGTCTCGTATCTACGAAAGTATACAGTATCGACCAAAGCTCGAAATGAGCGGAACAGCTCAGCCAAGAACCATACATCGAACCACCTGCCTTGCAAACTTGCCATTGCCGCATCTAGCACTGCACAACAGAGAACATAGTCATGCAAATCTACGAGTAGCCTTGGTCTTGTAGGGTTACGTTTTTCTTGATCACTCTACCCCGCTTACTCACGCGGACCCCTACTTCCGAGTTCTCGCGCGGTATCTCGCTACGTTTTCTGCGAGCCGGTCGCTTCTTGCTTTGGCCTTCCACCCCCCCTGCCCGCCTTTCTTCCTCTTCTACTTCTTCCTCCTCTTCGTCTTCGTCGTCGTCGTCTTCGTCGTCGCCGTCGCCGTCGTCGTCTTCATCTTCGTCGTCGTCGTCGTCGTCGTCGTCGTCGCCGTCGTCGTCGTCATCGTCGTCGTCGTCGTCGTCGTCGTCGTCGTCTTGTTCCTCGTCCTCCTCCTCTTCCTCTTCCTCCTCGCCCATGTCCTCCAAGGACCGGGTGCCGGACATGTTACGGCCGAAAGTGCCGTTCCCTTCCGTGCTCCCAAGTGCGCCAGTGGGGAGGGCTTCGTTTCCTTGACCACGTCGGCGAGGCCTCCCGGCTTTAAATTTTTGGAGTACCTTGGCCTTCTCGCTCTCCGAGATAGTGTAGGCTTCCTTGAACCTATCTACCGTCGTACCCGCCGCCACAAGTATGTCCTCCCGGTGGCATCTTGTGACGTGCTCGGACATGCCATACTTCCAGATGTAGGTGTCCTGGGAGCAGAAGAGGCACTTCAAGACCATGTTGGTGCACGGTGAGGTATCTGAGCCCGCCTTCGCACTACCCAGGTTCAGAGCTACGGCTTCCTGGCGTGCGTCGCTCCGAGGCGCTGATGGACAGGTCGAGTGCACCAGGGGCCTGGCCTTGCCTGGTGGATCATGGATGGTGCTGCGGCACCCGACCTCACCACAGAAGCCACAGACAGTGCTCACTTGCAAAGCCTACAACAAAAAGGGAGAGAGGATGGATCGTGAGCGTGCCGCTGACATTTCCACGCCGGATTGAAATATGCGGCATGAGTCCACGCGCGTCCGGTAAGCACCGTTGCCCAACATCTCGCGAAATAATAACACAGGGGACAGGGTGAAGCAGCCCACGCAGGTGAAGTCTATACGATGCTAATGAAAAATAACGAAGCCATGCACGTATCAAAACAGCATTGCACACTACAGCAGTATCAAAACAGGTTAAATCTCACCCGGTCTTGCATTCCCATGCCAAAAAAAATAAAGAACACCCGCACCTTGTCCTTCAAAATGTGACCTCCCACGTGCAGTCTCATTTTCGATCGTTGAACTTCTCTCGTGCAGAGTTTGCAGCAGATCTTCTCGGAGCCCAATCCCCCCGACGGGGCCACGCCCAATGCGCCAGCCTGAACATGAAACAGGTCCTCGTGGAGTGGTAAGGGATTGGCGTCTACGCCAGACGTTTTCTGCGCGGGAAGGTGTCGCCAAGCGCTCAGAGCGTCGACCTCGTCCACGAGAATATCTTTCACGGCGGTGAGGTCGGCAAGTTCAAATCGAAACGAGGTTCGGTCCACACTCTTCTCGATCTCCACTTGCTCCTGCACCATCGGCCCCTCGCGGAGGACAGTGCGTGTCACGGTCTCTTTGACCACGACAGGCGTCACGACTACGTCGGGATCCAACGGCAAGACGAGGCGACACTTGCACGATAGCTCCCCTTTGTGGAGTCCCAGTTCTCCCCAGTGTTGCCACGAGCCCGTAGCTGGCGTACCGTCCTCACCGATATCTGAAGAGGGAGTTCCGTCGCCCTCTTCCAGCCGATCTGCAGCAATTGCAGGCGCCACACTGGACCATTGCAGCTTCATCAATCTACCCTTGACAACAGCCCCATCTTGCGCCTGCTCCTCCGATGGGGCCTTCGTGCAAGAGAACAAGCCCAGGGCGTACTGGGCTGGGCTCCTTCCCGGGGTCGCCACCAACATAGCAAACGGGTCCCCTACAACAATTCCTCGCGAATCGGTGTTGTCAATGCCGGCTGCCTCCCCCCCCCTCTTTCCGACACCGCGTGAGCCGGTACTAGATCCCGATGGCCCCGCCGTGTAGGCTCGTACGCGCTTCAGCCGGTCTCTCGACGCATTCCGGAACTCTGTGCCCATGAACTCCGTCAAAGCTCGCTGCTTGTGAATCTGCTTACCATCGACCTCGCAGAAGGACGATATCTTGCCAGGCCCATTTTCGGTGGCGTGAAGGAAGGAATCTAGCTCAACCCCCGCCAGGAGTCCAGGCTCCTCCGTGGCTACGGGTGCGCACTGCTCTCCTTCATCTGCGTCGTCCCCGTCCTCAGAACCCTCCTCACTGACCGGGGCATCAGTCGTTCCTTGTGCCCGGGCATCAGTCGTTCCTTGTGCCCGAATGCCCGGAAACCCTCCACCCGGTCTTCCACACAAACGAGACCAGCGCATTCGGGACAGCCAAATATGCAACCGCAGCATGCGTTATGTTATGAGATTTTAGCACACGTGATAACTTTCCAATGAAGCACAGCGGTTTGACATGGAAACAAACTTGTGGCTGCTTTCAGTGCACACTGACAGCGTTATATGACATTCCCGCTCTTTCGGCATGCTACGGTTATCACAAGCACCGAGCCAAGCACCGAACCTTTTTCGTCTTCTTGTGCTAAGAGATCACGCAATCATAAGAATACTTCCACCTCTTGGCTTACCCGAAAGGCAAGAGCGTCGTGACGCCAGCCTTCTGCAGGTCTGAGATGGTGCCCCCGTTGATCGAACCCTTGAAGGAAGGGTGCCCCCGCAGTATGTCGTATCCGCGCCAACGGGACCCCCCTCCTCCGTGGAGCACGATGGTGCAGCCCCCGCGGGTGCCACGGGCGTCGATCCCACCGCCGCCGGCGCCACCGCCGCCGGCGCAGCAGCCGGGTGTATTACAGGGGGCGTACATTGCGCAAAGGACAGCAAAGAAGTCTGCCTGCTCTTGCCTCCACTCGCAGTTCCTTTTCTGATAGCAACCCACCAAACCATAGGTTGCCGGAGGATGACGCACGGGGGAGCATGAAGCAGCGCTTGTGTCAGCTGTCATCATCTAGAGCCCTTGCCTGCACGACCTTTATCGCAATATACCAATAGCCCAGCCAAGCACACCAGTGAACGAAAAAGTACATCGTCAATAGTAGGCGGGACGCCGCGACTTTCACCTGTGCTCTTGGCCCCTCGCATGCTGGTCGACGTTTGTCTGCGACCACCTGTCACCATTTTGGATATGCTTGCCACACGAGCAGATCCATTGTCCTTTGCCATTTTTTTTCGCGATTGCTGCCACCGCCGGTTGTTTGCTGGGAGGAGGTGGCGCACTTGTCTGCGTCATCGCGGAGCTGCCAGAAAAAAACACGTGCAGGACGGTGGCCGGTTAGCTAACTTCCCCAGGCCATAAGCAGAATACACACGAACACCCATCGTTCATTGGGCCAGGCTCGGCCGTGATAACGATCTCCTTGAGGTGCCGGTACGCAACCAAGACTTTGGTGGTATGATGCTTTGTCAACAGAAGACACAGACTTGAGACAGCAGTTTTGTTCACGATGGAACTTGGCTGGTACAATAACAAGCTTGGATTCAAAGCAGTCTTCGTGTTGCGCACAACATACCAACTAACCAAGTTGCTGACACGCTTGCCAACACTGCTGTATAAATTCAGCCGAAGATGTTACAGCCAACTTGATACAGCACACAACAGCAACAAAAAAAATCCCCCGAGTCAGGGCCTAGTTCACCAACTTGAGTTCACTGCTGTAAACATCGGCGAATGCAAGCCGAACGGAGTCTGTACAGTAGTAGCGACAAAGAAGCGAGGTGGAATTGTTTTGTTTGTGGCGATTCCGCCAGCAATGTTCCGTGAGTGCCTTGCCGCCAGCTTTAGGCTACTCTTACCGCAGGTGACACAAGATACCACACCCCCTGGACCGATGTTCTAAGCTCTCTACAGCAGTACAATGCAGTACAAAAAGAGTGGCGATGCGAAAAAAGGCGAGGCGTTGGAGTTGCCTCGACGAGGTCCTGCCGAATAACTTGGCATCCTCCTCGTGGAGTGTAGTATATAGTTGAGCAAGAGCAAGCTTTGAAAACCAGTCGA